GAATCTTGCACCTGAAATATACCCCAGTAACTTTGGGGTGAGCAACATAAAGTTACTCGTAGGAAATGAGCATGCATCGACCTAACGTTTTACAATTTTATCACCTTAAGGTGAAACATGTTAAAGAGGCTCATGCCACCTAACGTTTATATCAAGATGAGACTCAGGGAGCATCCTAAGCTACTCATGCAATTTCAAGTGAACAACGGCATACAAGTATACATGCTCAAGTATAATAAGCAATGTTAAAACATGTAATACAACATACAAGCATACATTTCCAAGTATACTAAACCATATTAAGACGAGTCATGCAATGTTTAAGCATAATTACATAAGTATGCATTTTATATGGAAATCTCATAAATCAAGTATACGAACACAAGTATACTAAACAAAACAAAATGCACATAAGACAAGTATACATGGCACAAGTATACTAAATGAAAGTTAAACTCATGGAGTAAGTATACAAGTTCAAGTATACTAAATATGATTCAAATATCCAAAGCAAGCATTAATTATCAAGCTATAAGTAATCCATGATTAACAACTTGAAATTAAATGCGAAATCAAGTAGTGGAAAAGACTAGGACATATGGTCGCTAGACCAAGCAGGTATTTTCGGGTAATTACGACCCACAAGGTACCACCTAGTGCGCACTTATGACTTAGAAGACTCTTATCTCCATACTAGAGCCAAACCCTAGCCATCACATAAATTATGTCCTCACAAGCTTTCCAAAACCAATAAGTTCAAAACTTATACAAAATCAAATGCAAGTTACCACATTCCATACACAAGTAAGGTTGAATCCACACAATTCATGTCCTAGAATTCAAGTCTAAATAGCATATGACATGTCATGTCCTCAATATGCAATTTACATATAAGTAAGAATATTTTACAACAATTGAGCCACATTACCATCCTAAGCCACAAGTACTAAATAGGTTACAATTTAGTATCAAGCTTTCAAGGTAAACAATTGTAATATTCTAACAAGCTATATACCTACACAAGATATATTTAAACAAACTATTCGAGACAATGATATCACACATCATACTAAGTCAAATTACCATCTTTAGAGACTACAAGTACTAATTCTACAACAAGTTAGTAGCATGCTCACAAGGTAATTAAATACATTACATTTCAAGAGATTTTCATCCTAACATGGAAAGTCTCTAGATTTCAAATCAATTCCAACTAAGCTTAAATAAATACATGTTGAAGGTTATAACATTGTATTCACATACATTATACCTAAAATAAATTTAAGCAACTACAACACTTAGAATAAAATTAACATGGTATTCCGCAGTCGATGTCGATCATGATATTGTAATTTGAAATTTCAACTCGACTAAGACTTGTAATTGACATCGAATATTGTCAATTACAAAATATATATCTCACAAAAAATTTCATTATTTGGTGGTTAAGTAAATAGATATCAAACTGATAGTATATTATTTGGTCAATTTATAAATTACCTTTTTGATAATTAATTATTGGAGAAGTGTTTTCTTATTTGTTCATTGCTTTGGTGAAAAGTTGGATATTATGGTTACTAAAGGAAAACTGGTCCCTTCTCTACCATTATAAAGTACTGTATATATTTATCAATTATGCACACTAATGAAACAACATATATAATGTTTATGTGTGCAAAAGACCAAGAGAGATAAATCAATTTCCACATTTTGATTATTGTTTAGGAGTTGCAGTTTAGCACGTTATTCATTCCGTAAAAAAGATGTCGACGTTAGGCTTATTTGCAATCACAAATCGAGTTATTTATATTTAACTATTTGTTTATACATTATAAACATGTGAAAATAACGAAGTTCTAAGATCTTGAGATTGATTTTTATTTATGATTAATATTTGACACAAATAATTATAGTTTACAATGTCCACCATTACTTTTACATAATTTGAATTCCATAATTATCAAATTCGATCTCTAAGGGTCTACTCATAAAGTAAACCACTACAGAAATCGTGCATGATTGAAAATATAACTCTTTACTGAGCAACGTTATCTGAAATCAACCTAATGATAAACCCTCTCCAACCCTTTGCTTTTATACCTCTTTGCTTTTATTTGTAGGACCGACCCCAGGTCTCTTTTTGGCATAAACAATATGGGTGCAACTGTTTTAATTTAATTCAGAGGAATGATAATTCCATCAATTAACACAACCCTTTATATCATTATTTGTGTAAAGAGAAACTCCTAAAACAATTAAGGGTTAATACAGTACTATGCACCTTAATCCTCTCAGGTACTTTGTTCTTTGTTAATTGATGAGTCATTTCATCAATTAATATATATATATATATCTATATATATATATATATATATATATATATATTCTTGGCAAAGAAATAAATTCATTAAGAAACCTAAGTACTACAACCGTTTGAATTTTCATTAGCACTACTGATGAGAGATTCTCAATATCCTCATGTACTAAGGCATTTGAACAATGAAGTTCGCTAGCAAGTGGGCGGCTTTATTTGCATGGGAATTGAGCCAATATTATTGACCAACCCGGGATTATTCATCAAGAAAATTGAAGGGACAGTCGAATGAGAGCCACTAGCTGCTAAAACAACATTCTTGGCGTCCAACTCGAACACGAAATGCCCTGAACACCATTGTTGAAGAAAACCCATAGATTCCCAGTCCTTTTTACAAGCATAGTCCGCATTTGGATCACTTCTGAGAACAGTTTTATATATTTACCAGGGAAAGTTACCCTCATTGGGCTGGATTTTTGGGCTTTATATTCTTGGGCCGCAGTCAATTTCAGTTCTGCTTGTTATTAGGCTTGTGGCCTTGTCACTTGTTTGGTCCATCATTGAACCTTTTTCTAGTTCTTTTACTTTCATTTAGAAGTTAGAGCAGTAGATGTAGAGAGTTGAAACTTGACAGTCCAAAATTAACTCACTGAGCTATCGAGATATCAGCTTTTACTTTCAATTTTAAATAATACTGTAGTTATTTATATATATTTATATCTTCTTCTGTGTTGGTGATTTTTTTTTTTTTTTTTTTTTTTTTTTTTTTTTTTGGGTCAAAACAAAATCTTAAGAAAACAAGGAACAAATCCATGCACATTACATTAAGAATTTCCTCTGTCCTCATAAATATATAAGGATTAGCACTAGGCAATGCAGAAGACATTGGTGGGTTAGAGATTGAGTTTACTTTTTATTTTGAATTCCAATTTCATATCATAATGAACAATTTTATCATCACACCAAACATCACATACCCTTATAGTAACTACATTCTTATAATATCTACGTAATTAATAATAATATAACTATACTTTTAGTAGTGTCTAACATGTCTGACACTTAGAAGAAGGGTTAGCTCATTTGAAGATTCATTTGCACATTGCATTAAGAATTTTCTCCATTCTCATAAAAATATAAGGATTGGTGCTAGACAATGCACAAGACATTCGTCATTACAAGTTAGAGACCGAATGTCACATGTACATATATTACTTTTTATTTTGAACTCAACTTTCATATCATGGAATAATTTTACCATCATGTCAAACACCACCCTCATTCTCATAATAACTACGTAATTAACAATAATATAAATATACTTGTAAGAAGAAGGGTTACCTCATTTGAAGATTCATTTGCACATTGCATTAAGAATTTCTCCATTCTCATAAAAATATAAGGATTAGCCCTAGACAATGCACAAGACATTTTGTTTTTTTATAGTTGGTATTTACACACACACATGCATCCACTGAGATTTGAACCCTTAACCTCCTTTTAGAAAGTAAGAGCCTGATATTACTAGGCCACCGACTCGTTGGTCAATGCACAAGACATTCGTCATTACAAGGTTAGAGATTGTACGTCAGATGTATATATATTACTTTTTATTTTGAATTCGACTTTCATATCACAATGGAACAATTTTACCATCACATTAAGCACTACCCTCATTCTCACAATAACTATATAATTAACAATAATATTAATATACTTGTAAAAAGAAGGGTTAGCTCATTTGAAGATTCATTTGCACATTGCATCACCCTCATTCTCAGAATAACTATGTAATTAACAATAATATAAATATATATACTTGCAAGAAGGGTTATACTTGCAAGAAGAAGGGTTAGCTCATTTGAAGATTCATTTGTACATTGCATTAAGAATTTCTCCATTCTCATAAAAATATAAGGATTAGCGCTAGACAATTCACAATACAAGGTTAGAGATTGAATGTCAGATGTATATGTATTACTTTTATTTTTAACTCGACCTTCAAATCACAATGAAACAATTTTACCATCACGTCAAGCACCACCCTCATTCTCATAATAACTACGTAATTAACAATAATATAAATATACTTATACGAAGAAGGGTTAGCTCATTTGAAGATTCATTTGCACATTGCATTAAGATTTTCTCCATTCTCATATAAACATAAGGATTAGTAGTAGACAAATGCGCAAGACATTCGTCATTACAAGGTTAGAGATTGAACATCAGATGTATATATATTACTTTTATTTTGAACTCAACTTTCATATCATAATGGAATAATTTTATCATCATGCCAAGCACCACCCTCACTCTCATAATAACTACGTAATTAACAATAATATAACTATACTTGTAATAAGAAGGGTTAGCTCATTTGAAGATTCATTTGCACATTGCATTAAGAATTTCTCCATTCTCATAAAAATATAAGGATTAGCGCTAGAGAATGCATAAGACATTCATCATTACAAGGTTAGAGATTGAACGTCAGATGTACATATATTATTTTTTATTTTTAAGTCGTCTTTTATATCATAATGAAACAATTTTACCATCACGTCAAGCACCACACTCATTCTCATAATAATTACATAATTAACAATAATATAAATATACTTGTAAGAAGAAGGGTTAGCTCATTTGAAGATTCATTTGCGTAGTGCATTAAGAATTTGTCCATTCTCATAAAAACATAAGAATTAGGAGTAGACAATGCACAAGACATTCGTCATTACAAGGTTACAGATTGAACATTAAATGTACATATATTACTTTTTATTTGAAACTTGACTTTCATATTATAATGGAACAATTTTACCATCACCTCAAGCACCACTCTCATTCTCATAATAACTACGTAATTTAACAATTATATAAATATACTTGTAGTAGTGTCTAACACTTAGAAGAAGGTTAACTCATTTGAAGATTCATTTGCAAACTTGGCCTTCCAATCGTAAAGTCTAAATTAATCAACATATCATCAGAAGAAGACAAGGAGCTATTATTCAACCTTTCCTTCTCCCTTCCAGACAAGTATTGGACGGCCAGGCGTTCATCATTTGCCTATAAATTAAAATCAATAAAATCAAATCCTCAATAATCTTAAGCTCTTAAGATACAAAAATTTCAGTTGATAAAATAAAATAAAATAAATAAGTATTAAAGCATAAAGTTTTTGTACATCTTTCTGATTTTTTATTTTTGAATATTATAAACTGTTTTTTCGTACTATTTAAAATGTTTGAACTCTAATTATTTAGTCAATTGTCATACCTTGGTAGTGTCATTTAGTCCGAAATAAGAATCATTTGTCTCCATTGATGAACACGAATCTCTGCACACAAGCAGTGAGAGATCAGAATTAGAGAATCAAGAAAGAATGGGTAGTGATTTTCAAATAAAATAGTTAATATATATATATATTGAAATATTAAATGAACATTCATTTAATTTTTTATTTTCAGAAATCATAAAGGAGTGGCCGTGGAATTGTATTAAGAAGTTAAATGTGGATAGAAAAATCATTTGTGTTTGTGTGTGTATAATGTCTGCATTAACTAGATATATGCCATCATGTAAATCAGTATTTCCTACAATGATAGAAAGGTGAAGAGGTGTACTAATTTATGGGACAGAAAATTAACACTCACTACGATTAATTGATTAGTTATTTAATTCCAATGACCGAGTTAGTTAACTAATTTAAGAAGAGCTCCTTTTCATTTTTCCTTTCAAAAAAATAAAAATAAAAATAAAAATTCCTTTTCATTTTTAAATGTTAACTCGACTTTTTCCGGTTACTTGAATTCTTGGTGACTGGTAGAGAGGAGAAAGAAAAAATTTCGATGATTCGATATGGCTTATAATTTTGGTTAAATTGCACATAGTTAAGGGATTGTTTGGTAACTGTTTTGTTGCAAGTTTTATGTTGCGAGTGGTGTATTGTAACAAAGTAAAAAACACAACTTTTGTTCCCATTTGAATAATATTGTGTTTGTTGCCCAAAATTAGTTCCAAATAAGAAACAAAAAATTGGTATTTCTAATAAATTTTAGGTTACCAAACATATTTTCAATCACAAATGAACAACACTTCACAACAAAAGTATTATTTTATGAAAAATTATTGCCAAACGAGTCCTAAGAGATAATTACATATCGCAGAGTTGTGATACACATCATGAATGCAATTCAAGATTCTTGAACCTATGTGGAAGTAATGTGGCTACTTCCTAATAAAAAGTCTCTATATGCAATTGAAAAACAAAAAGACAAAAATCCCAAAAATCCTAATACAGCTTCTTCTTCATATCCAAGGGTAAATTTGTGGGTTTAGGTTAAAAATTTTGAATTTTTTTTCTTTCTTTGGATAGCCAAATTTAAATTTAATGAAGATAATGATGTGAAAAATGGTAAATAGAATTTGTGGATTTAGGTTAAGAATATGGATTTTTTCCTTTTACCTTTTTAGAAAACCCAAATTTTATAGAACTTATAAGCGGAAAATGGATATGAAATTTATTGAAGGCATTCTCGTACTGTTGGTCTGATCATTTGTTTCTCTAATAAAAATTTGAACTTCTTTGAGTCAAAATATTAGATATGATTTTTTCATAGAGAAGGAAAAGAAAAAACACTGGATCCAAAACAAGACAAAATTAATTTTGTAGAAAATGTCACCAGAATACATGTGCAGTAAATTAGGGAATAAGTAATTTCTATATTATGTAAGGAAATAAAAAAGAAAAGGTAATTTCTATATAAGGTAAGAAAATAAAAAGAAAAAAGTCAAAATATACTGATTAACAAAAACAATTGTCATGTCTTCCAAGATAACAGATCAAGAAATTCAATTCATGATGTTTATTATTTCTATCTAAATTAATTTGTTGAAGAAGCACTCACCTCCAGGCTTTACGTTTTGGTGGTGATGAGTTAATAAAATAAGAAGGTATTGTACTGACAGCTTTCTCACGAGACAATCCTGCATCCACTTGATCAATTATCCCTCTCCTTTGATTCAAACCCTTTTCTGTCTGCCCTTGACCTGCAACATTCATAATCATAGAGCCATACATTGTCTTGATTATCAGACAACCCAGTAAATAATTCACATGGACTTTAAGTCACTCCAATCTTAACTATTTAATCAGCTTTAAATGCTGCCCAAAAATAATTTTAAAAAATAAAATAAAAAGTAGAAGACTCATCAAACACTATATGATCACCACCGAAGCTCACAAGTGATGAAGTGAATAATGGAGAAGAGAAAATAAAAGGGGGGTCCTCAGAGGAAAATCCAAATACCTGCACCTTTGTCATGAGTGCTCTTCACTGTTCTATACATCTGCATGAACACCCACAAAAAAATAAAAAAATAAAAAATAAAAAATAAAGAAAAAGATAAAAGTCAACATTGCTAAGATTACTTCTCTAGATGCCTTCTTGTCTTTACCCCTTGTACTCCACCACACCCCCACTTAAACACTCAGAATATATATATCATAGCAATATATATATATATAGTTGTAAACTTTCATATATAGGTCATATATGAAAAAGAAAAGTACAAGACAACCATGAAATTCAGAAACAAAAACCAAACTCCTCCTTATATTCAATGCAATACTAATTGAACACAGTACTAACCACACCTGCAAGTGACTCTTCACGTGAGCTAGGGTTAGATCCTTCACATTCATCAGCTCCAATACAGATTTTGGAGTTGCTCCTGTAATAATATATCAAATCAAAATGAGTTAGAAATTAATGCAAGTAGCCATATATAACATATATATATATATATATATATATATATATATATATATTTGATGACATTTAACTAACTGTCATGGCCACCAAGAAGCTGAACTGCGTGGACAAAATGGGCATGAAGAGTTGAAGTCCATCTCATTCTGGGAGCTCTAAAACTCCTTTTGAACCCATTAAACATTCTTGAATTTCTCTTTAACTCATGTCCATAGATTTGAGGTTGGTAATTGTAATGGTGGTGGTTCTGAAGGTTTCTTGGTAGTTGTACTGGTGGAGGATTCAAAACCACCATCTCAAACCCTAAACTCAACTTCGGCCATCCGTTGCAAGCCTGATCTAAACCCTTCTCCGGGGGAAAGGGTCCATTCTCATGGCTTAAATCGCTTTCGCTGCTACAGGTGTCTGTCGTTGATCTTTGGTTAATGGAAGATGATTTTCTCTCCAATTTATCATAGCCCACATATTTGATCTCACAGTCTGTAATGGATGGAGGGCTGATCTGCAAAGAGAGATCAAGAAAAGTTGAACCCATTCTCATGCAGTTTTGAGGCTTGAGCTTAGAAAAATTAGATTAAATAAAGGACAATCAGTTCAGTCAAAGGTCACGAGAGAAAGAGAGAGAGAGAGAGGTAGTGGAAGGAAAATACAAGGAAAGAAATGAAAAATTGAAAAGAACAAGAAAAATGGGGTGAAGGAATGGAAATGAGGAGAGCTGAAAAGGAAGGGTATGAGTTGTGATTATAACATGAGTGACTTATGATGTGCATTGGAGTCTAGAGATAGAGAGGGAGAGAGACTTTTACTATTAGTAGGGTTGATAAAGAATCAAAAGCTAATTGCAGAGACACTACTACTAGCTACCACTAGTGAGATCGAAGAAGGTAAACAGATTGATCTCTTGGGATGAAGCATTAGAGGAAAAAGTAGGTGAAAATGGGAACTTGTTTATTTAAGGATGCAGAGAGATCAGATACCTTTCCACAGAGAGAGGGAGAGAGAGAGAGAGAGAGAGAGAGAGGGGAACATATTTTTGTGTGTAATATATTGGAAATGAAAAGGGAGGTGTTTGGATATAATGGTGGTTCTGCAAGGGAATGGTTGGAATTCGAGAAAACAAAAGGGGTAGTGTTCAATGGAATATTGGAGTGGAATCCTCTCTCTCTACATTGACCGATTGTGACTTGGTGACCCATTGAAATTCCTTAACATTTTTGTTTTCATCAAATGGTAGTTTAGGCTTTCTATGCTTTCCTAATTTTAGAATATTCCTATTTATCTGTTTCTCTAATCATGCTACTAAACTATTTTTCGTAGTCAACTCAGCCTCATTCGCGAAATTGTATATCATGAAATATTACGAAAGGTGCATTTAGATTCTCAATTTAGAGTTATGAAGTCTGTGAGATATATATTTTGAAATTGGTTAATTTTTGTGTTAAAATAAGTTCGATCCAGTTGTATTTTCAAGTTTAAAATTCAAGTTAAATATTGATTGCGGAATTGAAGGATTGTTCGGGTTCGGTAGCTTGAAGTTTACAAAAAGGATAGAACAACACTTTAAGAAAATGAGTTAGAAGGTTAGAACAGTTGCATACCTAGTATGTTTTCCAAAATTGTATATTGCGGAAATTTTTCAAACTGTCTAACCCTTCTGTTCAAGTCTGGCCAACTTGAACCAGTTCCAGGCAGCTGAACTAGTTCAAGATTCAATACTTTGATTTTCTTAAAACAAAATTAACACTAGTCAACTTGAACCTGTTCAAGGTCTTTAGACACTTTTAGTAACTTAGGGCCTGTTTGGCTGGGCTTCTGTAGCCTCAAAACAAGGCTTCTAAACCCAAAAAATCATTTGCCAATAATAAAGAGTATTTGGTAAATTTTTAAAAAATGAACTTTTAAAAAGTCTAAGTGGTTTAGAAGCCCAATTGACCAGAGCCAATAAAACATGCTTCCTGCTCGACTTCCCGCAAACTACACACTTTTTTAAATAATAAATATAAAATTCCTATATTGTCCATTATTTAACCTATTTCCATTTCTGAATTTCATTGCAAACTTTTATCTTTCTCTTTCTGTATCATCTTCTTCGTTCGTTTTCTACCCAAAAAATTAAAAAATATTGCTGAGCAACATTCACAAAACTTTATTGAAAAAAGTATTGTTGAAAAAATATTCGATAAAAGAAGAATAAAGAGATTGAGGAGTTGTAGGAAAAATTACTATTGACTCATATTTAACTTCAAAGTCGGAAAAGTTCCAATATTTATGAACTCTCATCCAAAATTCAACCATGTAGAATTCTAAATAAATTTTCTTTCTCTCAAAAAAAAAATAAAATAAATAAATATATATATATATATACACACACAATATATATGTGTGTATATATATATATATTTTTGAAGGCTACCGGTTCTGATGTTAAAGTGATTTATAGTTATAAATAAGAATAAAAATGAAATATTTTTGCTACCATTTCTCTCTTTTGTTTTATTTTTCTTTCCTTTTTCTTTTTCTTTTTCCATCTTTTTCAACTTCTATTATTTAGTCAAGGAAAAAAAAAATTAAAAAAAATAAAAAAAAAACTTCTAGCATGTAGATTGGGTTGGGTTAAATTTGTATACCAGATCTTCACTATACCAATTAATCGATGTTGTATCGCTGGCAATTTCTTCCTTTTTCTTTTTCTTTTTCCATCTTTTTCAACTTCTATTATTTAGTCAAGGAAAAAAAAAATTAAAAAAAATAAAAAAAAAACTTCTAGCATGTAGATTGGGTTGGGTTAAATTTGTATACCAGATCTTCACTATACCAATTAATCGCTGTTGTATCGCTGGCAATTTCACTCTATCACTTTAATTATGATTTTTTTTTTCTTCCCTTCTTTGTACATTCCAATTCAACTCTTTGTTATCATTCATGATTTATTAAGGATATAATTGTCAAGTTAAATTATGTTAATAGTTAAAAGAGCTTTAAAAAAATTACCTACCAAACTACTTTTTTGTTTTAAATTCTTTTCATCAAAATGCATTTTTCTAAGCCAATTTAGTGAAGGAATTTTAGAAACTAAAAGCTCCCCCAAACTGGGCATTAGTTTCCTAATCTGTTTTAACTTCCTATTTGGTATAGACTTCTTTCCAAAAATCTTTGCACGAATTTAACTTATTTTTGAAATATATCTAGGTTTTTGAAAGTCTATATAAATGAACATGTTTTCTCGTCTAAGTTTGTGTGGGCTTTTGGTTTAAATTTCTGATTTCTTTTTAAAACCTTTTTGCTATATTTTTAAGAGCATACACACTATATACACACAAGGGAATTAAGAGTGCTGTTCAAATCCTGGTCATGTTCAAGTCTATTGAATATTACATCTACAATGATCAGAGGAAGCAGATTTATTTCTTCTACATCAAATTCATATTCAAATAAGAAGAGTTTTCATATCACACTTTTAAGGGATCAAGGCACTTGTAGAGTGTTATTGATCTACCAGAGATCCTTCTACAGGGTTCAAGGCATAAGTCTGAAATCGAGAGCTGTTGAACGAGAAGTTGCAAAGTCAGAGACATTCAGCAGATTGAGTCTTGGTAAAGCGAAAGGGTTTGAGTCTAAGTCAAAGTTCAGTGTACTTTACTTCATATATAGTAGATCTTTTTACGCTTGGGATAGCGCACAAAACCTCGAGGTTTTCTGATTGGTTTCCTCGTTAAAATCCGGTATCATTCAAAACTTTACTTACTTTTATTTTGCATGTGATTGTTTAATTAATCGATAATTTTAGTACAGTTAATTGAATAGAAACACACTTGATTAAATCCTCTCTAGATAATAAAAAATAATAATAATAAAAAAACCTAAAACTTTTCATAATATATTCTGCTGCATAACTCACAATTGGTATCGATCAGAGCCAATCTCTACACATTGAGTTGATCCTAGTGGAAAATTTTTGCTTATTTTCAACAATTCTTTCATCATGTCTTATGTTTTGAAAAATGGTGGAGCTAATCAACATGGTCCCTTATTTGAATGAGATAATTATATTTTTTGAAAATAAAAAATGAGAGCTTATTTGCAAAATTCAGGAGGTAAAGTCTGGGCTATTTGTAAGACAGGCTATACACCTCCGACTGAGAAAAAGACTGTCGATGGTAAGGTTATTCAAGTTTTAAAAGACACTTTCACCTTCACTGACTTAGTGTAATGATGCTAATGGAAAGACTTTGTATGCAATTATTAATTATGTTGTTCTATCTGAATATGTTAGAATTTCTAATTGTAAAACTGGTAAAGCTGCTTGGGATATTTTGCAGGTTACTCATGAAGAACTTCGAAAGTAAAGCTATCCAAAATTCAAATGCTTTCTCATAAGTTTGGGAACATTGTGATGAAAGAAGATTAAACTTTTTCTGATTTTTGTTCTACTCTTCTTGAAATTATTCTGAACTTCGTCACTTAGGCAAAAGAGTTGGTAATAAGAAAATCTGTGAGAAATCTTGAGATCTTTACCTAAGAGATTTCAGATAAGAGTTTTTCTATCACTGAACATTGGGATTTGTCTAGTGCTCAAGTAGATGAAGTTATGGTTTCTTTGAAAAATTTTGAAATGCAGAATTTTAGTCAAACTCAAAAAGAAAAAAATCTTGCTTTATAGTCAACTCAAGTTGATAACACCGTTGACGATAATTCTGATAAAGATGTGGATATACATAACTAGACAATTTAATCATTTTTTGCAAAAATAATAAAGGAGATCGAAGGAACGGCAATGTGGCCAATCCTCGAAATTTTGACAAGGGTTCAAATTTTAAGATAAATGAAAAGAAAGGGGAAGAATCTAAAGAAACTGAACTTACATGTTGGAACTGTAGTGGCAAAGGCCACATTTCGAATATTTTCCCTAGTCCTAAGAAAGATCAAAGGGGTATAAATAAAGGAAAAGCAATGAAAATTTTAGTTTCTGAGAATTCTATTCCTAGTGATAATGAATCCTTTTATAATGATTGCAATGATTTTTCTTCTGTTGCTTTTCTTAATAAAGGTCCTCATGTTGTTACTTTATCTGATTATGATATTCCAGATGATGAAAACAATGAAGTCCATGATGAACAAGTTCAAGAGGATGAGATTGATGAAGAAAAATTGAAAAGATGTTTGCAGAAACTGTTGAAGTTAAATTGGCTATTAAAAAGTTAGCGAATGAACTTATTAAAGCCAAATAAGAGAATGATAAACTGAGAAAACAAATTGATGAAGGTAAAAAGAGGGCTTTTGAAATAAATTCACTCATCTTTGATCTCAATGAAAAAATAAAATCTATTGAAGGCGAGGTAAGTATAGTTAACTCTTTGAAAGATTCTCTAGAATCTGTAATTGAATTTCTTGATGTTGAACTAAAAAAATCTCAAGAAAAATTTATTGCTTTTATTTGTGGATAAGTCAAACTGAATAAAATGATAAATATTGGTAAGAGTGTGAATGACAAAATAGGCTTATGATTTGTTAAGGCTTATCTAGTAATCAAGGTAAAACAATTTTTGTGAAACCTGTTAATCAGAATATGCCTGATCCTATTTTGGAAGATTCATTGCATTATAATATGTCCTATGTGCTTAATGTGTTGCATTGCACTTTTTGTGGTAGATTTGGATATAACCAACATTATTGATTTCGTAAGGAAAAAAAAAAAGTTTTTCTGACATTCATTCTTATAGATTTCATGCTATGACTGGAGTGCATACTAAGAAGAATTAGAATTTTGTTTCACCGAAAAGTTCTAAGGTTAAAAATTTTCCTTAGAAGAAAGTCAAATTTGAAAAATCTTTTCAAAAATTGAAGGTGAGGACTATGTGGATCAAGAAAGAGGAGTTAGTCAATTATATGCCAGTTCATTCTATGGAACTAGTTTCCCATAGATCATTAGGTGCAAAACCTTCAAACTAAGTCCTAGGATGGTGGAGTGATAGTGGATAGTGTTTATTGAAAATTTGTTGCCATTGGATCACTTTTTGTAAGTATAGGATTTAGTTGTGGTTTTGAGGAAACAATTATCATATTTTGC